TCAACTGCCCTCACACCAGAGGGGCTGGTCCTCCCCAAACACTCCATTCATGGTATACACATACACTTACACACACACACACACACACACACACACACACACACACACACCACACACTCCCAGCAGCCACAGGGGAGAGCCAGGCTGTAGGTGTTCGAGCAGCCCTGAAGGGTTTGGCCACCCTCACACCATCTGAAGGTTTTGAAGAAGCCCAGTGACTGCCTGGATTGATGCCTCAGGAAGATTACTTGCTCTTTGCTTTGTGTGTAACCGATGATCAGAGGCACAAAGTGTGGTTTTTCAGCTAAAGGCCTTCTCTGCGGCTTGTGTCCTAGGGGTTTGACCACAGAGTGTTGGTGGCTTCCTGGGCCCCACCCATCAGAGGGATGAGGGAGAGGACAGCTAATGGCTTTACTGACTGTCATACCTCCCCCCAGCCCCAACTGGCTGAGTCTCACCACTTACTTGGGGAGAAGGTGCAACGGTCTTTTGGGGGGAGAATTTTGTACCAACTGTTCCTGCTATCCCGCTGTAGTAAATACTCCTTACTAAAAACTACTTAATCCATCCATAAACATTTGTCAAGGGACTACTGTGTGCTAGGCCCTGTGCTAAGTGCTGAGGATACAGAGAGGGAAAAAAGACAGTCCCTGCCCTCAAGGAGCTTACAATCTAATGGAGAGACCACACAGGTACAAACAAGCTCCACACTGGAAAAAGAGGAAATACCTAACATAGGGGAGGCCCTGGAATGAAGAGGGGCGGGGGGAGGCTTCCTGTGGGAAGTGAGAGTTGAGTTGGGACTTAGAAGAAGCCAGGGAGGTCAGTCGTTGGATTGAGGAGAGAAAGCATTCCAGGCCTAGGGGACAGTCAGAGCAAAATGCCCAGGGCAGAGAGACGGAAGGTCTTGTTCATGAAGCAGCTGTGAGGTCCCATCACTGGAAAGGGAGGAGGGGGCTGGGTAATGAAGGCTTTGAATGCCAAAGAAAGCATTTTGTATCTGATCCTGAAGGCCATAGGGAGCTGATGGAGTTTATCCTATGGTCTGGCAGACTAAATGATTCTCAGCGGCTCATTTTGGGAGGAAGCAATCTGGCCTCATGATGGTTGCAGTAGAGAGTGACCCCTGACCCATTGGGGCACCCCGAGAGCTCTGAGGGGGAAACAGCCCCTTCTTCTAGCGCCCAGGACTTATCTGTGAGAGCGGGAGACTCATGGGCTACAGCCCTCTGAGACTTAGCCGGGCTGCCCCTGATTTCTGAAGCAAAGGGAGGAGTTGGGACCTCAGAGGTGCAGCTGCCTCCCCAGCCGTGCTAACACCCTTGTGAGCTGAGCCCAGAGCCAGGCGGAGCTGGCAGCTGAGGGTGAGGGACAAAAAGGGAAAGGTGGGGAAGAGACGGGCCACTGGGCCTCTCCAAGAAGAAGTCGCTGGCTTTGTCCACTGTGTTCCAGGGTGCCTGTCCAGTAAGGACACTCCAGCATCCCGGGCTGTAGCTTTTATGTCTCCTCAGACATTGAGAGGCCAGGGGTCGGCAAGGGATAAACACAGGTTTAAATTAGGGCAGAGTCAAACCTTTGCCTGGATATTAGGAATTTTCCCACTGGGGGCTCTGGGCTACTGTGACTTAGCTACCAATTTTTCCTCTGATATAAATTCCCACAAAGCAGAAGAAACCTCTGGGTTCTATTGTTCCTAGGCCAAAATACAAGGTGATGGCTGCCCAAGGGTGTGGCCGATCCAGAAATGAGGGCGTGGGGAGGATCTGCTGGCCAGCTGTGCCTTCCACAGAGCCGCCCAGAACCAAGTGGCCATGTTTGTAAAGGCGGGCCGCTCTGTGCTTACTTAGCAGAGTTCTTTCAGGAGGCTGGCTAGTGTGGTGTGGATGGAGGACTTGGAATCAGAGTCTTGGGTTCAAATCCAGCCGTGGATCCTTCCTAGCTGCGTGACCCTAAGCAAGTCACTTCCCTACCCCAGTCTGTACAATGGGGCTAATAATCACACCTACCTCCCAGGATGATTGTGATGCCTCCCAAACCTTACAGTTCAACCTAAGTATTAGCTATGATGATTTTGTCCCAGACTTATTCGGTGAGCCTCCAGCTTTTCCAAGAGCTGCTGCCAGGTTGAAATGATGGAGACCTCCACCCAGCTGTGCCTCAGTTTGCTTTGGGGATTTGGGAAGGGTCACCACTCAACAAGCCGGGCAGCCCTGGGGGCTGAGAGGGGCCCCACTGTTTAGTGCCAATGATGATGAAGAAGAAGAAGAGGAGAAGGGGCATTCTTGACAGTGGTGAGGAGACTGCAGGGCCTGGAGTCAGGAAGGCTCATCTTCCTAAGCTCAAATCTGACTTCAGACACTTACTAGCTGTGTGACCCTGGGCAAGTCACTTCACCCAGTTTGCCTCCGTTTCCTCATCTGTAAAATGAACTGGAGAAGGAAGTGGCAGACCACTGCAATATCTCTGCCAAGAAAACCCCCAGTGGGGGCCTGAAGAGTCTGCCAGGACCAAACAACAATACCACTCTCATAGCGCTGACCAGAAGCGCCCACCGCGGAAAGTTCAGCATTTGCATCAGGACCGTATCCAGTCACATTTTATCTGATTATAGGTTTTTTCCAAAATAACAAGAAAACGAATTCTGTGGATGACCTTTTAAAATGGTGTTTCCTAGCAACAAATTAGCAAGGAAGCTGCTGGGGTGGATTTCACCATGGCAACCAGCGGCCTGCTGTCTCTGCTTGAATATTTTCTACCTGGAGATACCAAGAAGCTGGGGGGGAGGGGAGGCCAGACACACAGCGATTGGAAGCTCTGTCTCTGCGGACCGCTGCGGCTGCTGCCGATCCGCCCTCGTTTACAGGAGAGACGGAGACGATGGGGGGTGGGGGGGGCGGCGGAGGCCCGGGGTGCTTTTAGTGGCTGTGCTTGCAGCACAGAGAGCCTCGGATTCTCGATCAGCTCGAGGGACGCCAGGGCGCCCTGGCCTTCCTGCGACCGGCTGTCAGCGCGCCCCAGCGCGAGGGCATCGTGCCCCCGGCTCCGAGAGTGTGCGGAGGCAGATGCCTCCTCTAAAGGGGCAGTGGGTCCCCAGTGACCCATGGCTAACCACGGGGCCACCCTCTCTGCCTGGCTTACTCTTCGAAGACAGAGCCTGGCAGCCAGGTGCCTCTGGCTCCTTCGGATCGCTGCCAGGGCAGGGCGGCGGGGTGGTGGGCCCTCCCTCCCTTCTCTGGGGCTTCCTTGCCCAGCCAGAGCCTAGGGCCTGGTCAGGTGGGAGCCAAGGGCCCTTTGGCCCCACGGCTGCGTGTTTTCCAGCAAACAAAGAGCTCTGGGAGCCCCCGCAGCCCTGTGTTAAATATAAACACTGTGCGGGGCCCCGAATCTCCTGCCCCTCCCAAAGTGACCGCTGGGCACCTGGGGCCCCAAACACTAGGCCCTCCCCTCCGGATCTGTTGATAGAAAACAAGGTCCGGAGTGGGCTGGGGCAGGGGTGGGGAGAGATGAACTGGGGAAGCCCACTGAGACCCCGGAGCTGGGCTGGTGGGGATTTTCCTCCTCCCTCCAGTTTAGAAGAGAAAGCACCTGGAGCCCAAGTGCCCGCCCGCTCGCCTCCCGCAGCACCGCTCCTGTGGGGAGGTGGGCAGGGGTGCGCCGCTGCCCCGCACCTCACCGCCCCCCGCCTCACGGACGTCGCTCACTGCCCCTCACCGCCCCACTCCTTCCTCCCAACCCCGCACCTCACCGACCCCACCTCACGCACCACACGGCCCCCGTGGGGAGGCCGGCCAGGGCCCTGGGACCCCGGATGGTGACTGGGCAGGGGCGGCAGGAGCCACTCAAGTCGGTGGCTCCTCGGCAGCTCCTTTGAGCTCAACCCATCAGACTAAGTCACCTAGACCTGTTCCTGGAAGGGGAGGCCAAACAGGTGATCTTGGGAAGGGAAGGGGAGCCTGGGGGTCCGAATCGTCCTGGGTGGGGGACTCCGGCCTGCCCCCCTTCCCTGTGTACACACAGTAGGCACTTTGTGCCTGTTGATGGCTTGAATGAAATGGGGTATCCCGGGCTGTGACCATAGGAGAGGGTCTCCAGGCAGAGGCCAGTCCTGGGTTTGTGGCCTGGTACAGGAATTTTATGCTTTCTGGGAGGTAAGCTCCGGCCACTTTTCTGGCTGGCAAATGGAGAAAGCAGGAAGTGGCTCCATATCCATCGCACACTTCTGGGAGTTAAGGACTTTCTAGGATGGCCTATAGGAGAAGGGCTGCAGTGTGTATGGGTTTCATCCAATGCGCTTAATGGGACAAGATTTGTAAAGCACTCAGGAGGCACTTAATAAATGCCAGTCCTCCCCTCCTCCCACTAAGGGGCAGGCACTGTGCTCAGAGCTGGACCTGGGTAGGGGCAGCAGAGCCACAAAAAGCAGGCATGGTGGGGGTCCCTCCGAATCAGAACCCCAACGTCTATGGGACAGATAGCCAAGGGGCACCTAAAATGCTTTGGGCTCATGTAGGGCAGAACTAACTTCTCGCTAGGGAAATCTGGCTAGGCTTCCAGGAGGAGTCAGCTTTGGCACTGGGCTCCAAGTACCAACTGCAGCCAAAGTCTAGCTACACATCAGAACGTGTCCATACCTAAACTCTTCCCCCCCACCTTCCCTATTGCCTTCAAGGCCCCCTCCCCCCCGTGCCTCAGGCTCACAACCTAGGAGTGATCCCGGGCTTCTCAGTATCTCTTATCCCATTTCCAATGTGGTGGCAAGCATCACTCATGTACTCCCCCTTCTCTCCTCGGACACAGCCATCCCCCGGTGCCTGCCTTCGTCCCCACACCTGGACTAGTGCAATAGCCTTGGCGGGGGGGGGGGGGGGGAGGGGTGCTGCCTCTAGTCTCTCCCTACTCCAATCCATCTTCCACTTAGTCACCAAATTCTGACCAGGTCACCCGGCCCCTCCACTCGCCCCCTACTTAATCTCTAGCGGTTCTGTGGCCTCCAGGATCAAATACAAACTGCTGTGTTTGGCGTTCAAAGCCTTCATAACCCTTTCTATCTTCTTCACCTCACTGCCCAATGGATACTCCTGGCTTCTGGCTGTGCCTCAAACAAGACCCTCCATTTCTGGGCTCCAGGAATTCTCTCTGGTGTCCCCTGCAACGCTCTTCCTTCCACACTCCCCAACCCCAACGCTCTCCCCCTGGCTTCCTCTGAGTAAAACCCCAGCCCCTCGAGGACCCCTTTTGGGACCACGCTTCCCTCTGCTAATTATGTCCTATTGATCCTGAGAGTAGCTTGGGGTGCCTCTGTTAGTGCACTTCTCCCCCCTCCCATCCAGTTGTGAGGTCTTTGAAGACCCTACTGGTCTTGCCTTTCTTCATGCTTGGTGTGGGGCCTGGCCCAGAGCAGACTTTTGGTCAGTGCTGGTTGACTGACCCGGGCTACCGCCCCAACTCTGCCCCACCCCAGACTCTGGTACAGGAAGAGAGGCCTGACTGGGGCCTCCAGACCCAGTACCATTGGCCAGCAATGCCGGCCGGCTCCTGGCTAGCCCTGGGGTCTAACTTCCAGACTGACCCTGGGCTCCAGCCCACTCCCAACTCCCAGGTGCTGAAACACGGAGACCAGAGGGGCAGGCTCCCGGGCTGCCAAGGCCCCACCCGAAGTAGTCCAGGAGCAGTCCGTGGGGTGCAGGGGGGCTTACCTAGAAGCAGGTAGTATAGCTGGCAGTGCAGAACTCCCCTCCAGTGCCTGGGTCGGTCAGTGGGCTCCATGCCAGCGGCTGGGCCCATGGAGGCAGGGCCCTGCTCCGATGGCCCTTTGCTCCGGCTGACAGCTGCGGATTGATTTGCTAGGGAAATGAGCCCTGAGATAATCACTCTCTTCCCTCTGTGATTTGAATATGGCCTGTGTGTGTGTATACAAAGGACAGAGGGGGAGGGCTGAACACCTGTCAGACAGAAGGGTGCCTGCCTCCCATGGCCAGGGCCTTGACTTCCCCGGTCCCCAGGTTGCCGTGGGGGCTGAGGCACAGAGAAGCAACCCTTTCATGGGATCATTTCATACAGTGCAGGTGGAAACTGGGCAGTGCAGTGGTCAGCGAGCTGACCTGTGCAGACAGGTGGAGCCCTGCTCTGGGCCCCTCATCCCTGCATGGCCTGGCCACGCCCCTCCTCTCTCTGGGCCTCAGTTTCCTCTTCTCAGGCCCTCCCGGCTCCTGGGACCCCTGTGTCCACCACAAGAAAAAGCTCACAGTGGATACAAATTTGGCTTCTGGTTTTCTGAGTGCATCTGTTCAGGGAGCCCCATGGCTCTGAGGAGGGTGTCAGCCTGCCCTGTGTGTCTACAATCCTCCTGGGCCCCCTGCCTGGACTAGCATGAATCCTGTCTCCAAAAATGCCTGAGCCCCAGCCAGGAGACAACCAGGGGGCCAGAGGCAGTGGTGTGGAGGCTGCATTAGGGCTTGGCCTAGAAGAAGGACTCTGTGGGGAGGGAGATTGTAAAATCCTGGAGGACAGAGGCTGTCTTTGGTCTCTCTTTGTATCCCAGAGCTTCCCATGGTGCTCGGCACATAGTAGGCTCTTGATAAATGTTTATTGATTGATTGTCTTTGTCAAGGGGACTGTTTCATATCTGTGCTGACTGCCCGTGACTGACTGGCGAGGCTGGACGGTGCTGGGGGTGGGGGGTGGGATGGGAATTGGCAAAGCCTGCCTTATTTGTGGGCCATGGCTGAAAGGGCCCAGAACTGACCTCTCAAGTGTGGGCCTCCCCATGGGCTTCAGACTGCAAAAGGCAGCTGGGAGACAGCAGATGCCCATGGCCTCTAAAGGGGACCCTAGGCCACTGTGCTAAGGGCCCTGTGGGCTGGCATGTCCATTGCTCAGATCCCCGCTACAGAAAGTCTGGGTGGTGGTTTATAAGCTCAGACCCTCAACACGGGCAATTAGCCTCACCTTTCTTTAGGTTTGGAAACACCGAGATCCCTTTGGCCAAGGCCAAGGGTTTGAAGATGGTCGAGGGACTGAGGGGTTTCTGAACCATTGTCCGAAGGAAAGGAAATCAGAAGGGGCTACTCTCTGGACCACCCCCTAGGCAGACTGAATGTGTGGGAGTGGGGCTTGGGGTTCTCCTAGAGAAAAGGGTGTGGGATACTGGCCCCTCGTGTGTGGGTAGGGGGTTGGGTCTTCTCAGGTGGATGGGGTGCGTGGGTGGGGCTCCCTCAGAGAGGAGTATGTTGAGGAATGGGTCCTTGTGTATCTGTTTGGGGGTAGCGTCCTCTCAGGTGGTCACCAGGAAACCAGACATGTGCACGTGAATTTTGAGCGTCAGCTGAAATGGGGGATTGTCCTTTGGCCTCCAGATGACAGTAATAAAAATGAGGACAGTGCCACCAACCCTGCGTGGTTGGTGTGCAGGTGGCGAAGAGCTCTGGGCTTGGAGCCCAAGGTCGGGGTTCAAGTCCGTGCTGGCCACTGTGGGCCCTTTCTCCCCTGCATACGGATGAGGTCGGAGGCTGCCCAACCCCTGCCCTCCTGGACCATGGCCCACTTGGGAGCCACCAGGAAGCCCTCGCAGAATTCCCGTGCTCAGCGTCCCTAGGTAGGACTGGATCCCGGGTCTCTGCCTGCTCCCCCTGCTGCTGTTTTGGGGGCTCAAACTTGTAGCTTCCTCCTCAGCCGGGCCGCCAGGTTCCACAGGCGCTTGGGGATCCTCCGGCCCCCTCGTTCCCCCGCCCCCACCCCATTCCCCCGCCCCCACCCCATTCCCCCAGCTGTCACAGCCTCAAGGTGTGAGAGGTCAAGGTGGCTCCTGGGGGAGGGGGCCCTCCCACATCCAGCCCCGCCCCAGGCGCTAGTGCATCACTCAGGCCCAGCTCTCACCCAATCCAGACCCCGCCCAGCTCCTCGGCCCCGCCCACACCCAGCCCCCGTTTTCCGGCCGCTCCCCGTCTCCCTCTGGCCTCGCCCGTGCTTTGGTCCCGCCTCTTTTCCTTTCCTCTCCACTCTCCGAGCTAGCCGGAGCTATGCCCCGCCCTCATTTCGATGCTCTCCACTCTCGGGCCGGCTCGTGCCTTGGCCCCGCCCCCTTCTGGGGCCTTCTCCTCTCGGCGTAGCCCACGGGTCCCTCCCCGCCTCCGGCTCCTCCCTCCCCGTACCGGCAAAGCCCTTCCCGCGGTGCCTCTCGGGAGTTGTAGTTCAGGCCTGGGAAGTGTAATTCCGACTAGCGTCCTGTGTGCCTCGGTGAGAACTACGTTTCCCGGCATAGCTCACGCCTCCACTGCGGGTCACGTGAGTGTCCACCATGGCTTCCTGGTGCGGCCGAGGCGGGCGAGGGGCCTGACCCGAGCACCCCCGAGGTGTGCCCCCGCACCTCAACGCCCCGACCTCGGGGTCGCGGAGCCTCCTCCCCCTCCCTCCCTGCCCCCCCGCCCGCCCCGCCCCCACCATGCAGAAGATCAAGTCCCTCATGGCCCGCCAGGTGAGTTGGGGGCGCGGAAGGGACGGAGGACAGAGGGGGGCCCCCGCCTAGACAAAGGCGCGGAGGTCAGGCCGTGGGTCTGCAGGCCTCCAGCCCCGCCCTGGCTCCTGGTCTCCTCAGGCCCCGGCTCTTTCCCAGGACCTCGCGCTTTGTTTTTCCGGGATGTCAGACCCGGCCTGCCTCAGTGTCCTCCAAGGGCTGCTGGGAGCATGTGTGGGGAAGGCTTGGCAGGCCTGGGGCGGGGGCGCGCCTGGTTCACTTTGGGCAGCCAGACAAAGGGGCGGAGAGCGGCCCATGAGGCTCTGCCACGGGCTCCCTTGGATCCAGATGCGAATTGACCTTTTAAACTGTGTTCCAGGGTCTCAAGAGCCCCCAGGACAGCCTCAGTGACCTGAGCCCCATCGAGAACCTCCGGCTGCCCAGCAAGGTAGGTCGCAGGGCCCCCCACCAGGTGCACCCTCCCTACCCTGGTCCAGATCTCGGTCCCAGCTGTGGGCGTGGCCCTGGCGCTGGTGCCTGCTGCTCGTACAGCCCTTTATGTGCCCGCGCACGCGCACCGGCACACACACCCCTCCTCCCTTTACCTAGCTTGCCTTTCCTCCCACCTTGCACAGGCACGGCGCTTCACAAATAGTAACTGCAGCGGAGGACACTGAGGCAGGCCGCAGGGAGGTGACGTGCTCTGTGGCCCCCGCTAGTCAGTGCCTGACGTCCTTGTTGTTGGACCGGCCACTTGGCAGGCACGGTCCGTGCCCCTTCTGTGCCCAAGGCCAGGGGAGGCTGGCCTGCCCTAGGGGAGCTTGCTCTCTCTCCCTTGGCATCGGCGCAAGAGGCGGCCCCTCCCCGGAGCTGGGGTCGTGGGGAACCTCCAGACCCCCTTGGGGCAGATGTGGGGGTGACCCAGCGGCCCTCACAGTCCCAGGGGGTCAGGAGGAGGAGAGCACCGGGCCTGCACACCGGGCGCCTTCTCCCTTTGTTGGATGGGCGGCCTCCTGAGGGCAGGGAGCTTATATGCGGCGGCGTTAGCTCAGTGCCCGGCACGCAGTAGGAGCTCAGGAAACGTCTGTGGTGTCATGGTGTTAGCGTGGTGCCCAGCACCTAGTAGGAGCTTACGAAATGTCGTAATGTTTATTAGCTCAGTGCCCCGCACACAGTAGGAGCTTAGGAAATGTATGTTGTGTTGTATTGTAGTAAATCAAGCTGGACAGCCCTCTGGGGATTGGTTGGCAGGACCTGGTCATGGACAAGGATTGTGTGGCTGATCAGACAAGGAGGGGGCGCCCCTGGATCTCCAACCCATTGGCATATGGGAGGTTATTGGCATGGGGGGCAGAGGATAGAAGCAGGGAGATGGATTGGGGGCTGTGTCAGTGGAGAGGCAGAGGCAGAGATACGCGGGAGTCATGGAGAGAGATGGTGAGAGACGTACGGAGAGAGAGATGGAGAGAGACAGGGAGGGCGCGGTGTTTCAGGTGCTCTGCCGAACCTTGAGGATACAAATGCCAGCCAGGGGAGAGATGCCCCTGCCTCCTGGGAACTTGCACTCTAACGGGAGATGTCACCCAAATGGGAGGGTGAACAGACTGCCTGGGCTCTGGGCTGCAGTGGGCTGGGCTAGGCTTAGGCCCCGTGGCGATCAGGGCGCTGTGAGCACGTCTCTAAAGGGAGGTCAGGAGCGGAAGTCATCCTGTGCCAGCGTCCTGGCCTGCTGAGAGGGGAGAGGGCACGCGAGAGCCCAGCCCGCAGACCGGGGAGCCTGGGGGGAGGAATGGCGACGTGCAGGAGAGAAATCATTGCACAGAAACAATGCCGAGAGCAAGGGTTCTCGAGGGCGGAGATGGGCTTGTTTTTTGTCTTTATGCCCCAGTGCCCGGGCCCATAGTGGGTGCCTTATCGGCCCATAGTAGGTGATTTCTCGATGCTTGTGGAATAGAATTGTCCCTGTGGGAGCAGAGGGGACCCAGGAGAGAAGGGAGGCACCTGGTGGGTGTTTCCACTGAGGGGGCTGAGAAAGGGCCAGTGGGTGGGGGGGAGTCATGGGAGAGGGCATGCAGGTGGACGGGGTGGGGCCGGGGTCACTGTCCAGGTCTGGCGGTCTGGCCTCTGCTTGTGAAGAGGGGGCTTAGGCTGCAGACCTTTCATGGTCTGAAGAAGCCAGGCTTGGCCTTAACGGCCGCCCGCCCGGTGGGGGGTTGATTGAAAGCTCCTGGAGGGCAGGGCCGCCACTGCACAGGCAATTTTCTCATTCTTCTCTGGGCCTGCCTCCCCAAGGGATAGGACGGAGAGGCCGGCGTGGCTGCCGGGGTCTCCTGGGTCCCTCCTGGCACCACCGGCCCGAGGGTCCGGGCCAGTCCCGGATGGGAGAAGACCGCTGGAGGGCACCGAGAGCCCAGGAAGGTTTGGAGCCTGGGCTGCCACCGCCTCGAGCCGCCTGCCAGAGCCGCGGGCTCCCCAACTCCCCCACCAAAGCAGGAGCGAAGCAAAGGGATGGGGAGCTCACCTCCATGCAGGGTTGGGAGCACAGATGGGTAAACTGAGGCCAGGGGAGAAAGAGACTTGTCTGTGGCCAGATAGCTAGCAAGCGCCAGAGCCGTGATGAGACCCTATCTCCCAGCGCCCCCCCTCAGTCCCCGCAGACCTCCCTTGGCCTTTCTCAGCCCCCAGCCCCCCATTGTCTTCTCCCCGACTCCTTTGGTCCTCCCCCCGCCCCCAGCCCCCCTTATCCTCTCTCCGTCCCCCTTGTCTTGCCCCCTTCGTCTCTCCCAACTCCCTCTTCTCCTCCCCTGGGGCCCCTGCCCCCATGAGCCCTCTGTTTTCTTGCCTCACGTTCTCTGGTCTTCCTTAGCCTGCCTTAGGGATGAGTTTAATACGAATGTATCAGTGATGCATCCTGGCTGTTGGGTTTTTCTGTGTTTTTAATTAAGAGTCTGATCTAACTTCCCTTCTTTAGAGCCATTGGGCCCCGGGCCTCCATAGCATTCTTGGATACTCTGGGGAATGACAAAGGCTCCTCCCCCCGGATTTGCTCCGGGTCGGGCCTGGGACAGGGCGTGCGCGGGGTCAGCCTCTGGGGGGCCGTGACTCAGAGCGTCTGTCAGGGAAGATGACGACCAGAAACAGCAGAGCCAGGTGCTGTTTATTTCTTTACAGGTGTTATTGTGTAGGTATAAGTAATTATGGAGCCCCGCAGGGGATCTGTAGTTCAAATCCGGCTTCAGACACTTCCTAGCCGGGTGACCGTGGGCAAGTCACTCAGCCCTGTTTGCCTCAGTTCCTCCTCTGTAAAATGGGCTGCAGAAGGAAACATCAGTCCATTCCAGCATCTCTGCCAAGAAAACCCCAAATGGGGTCCCAGAGAGCTGGACACAACTGAAATGATGGACCGACAATTATGTGTTTATGTTACATGTTTTTCTTGATGTCTTTTGGTTTTTGATATCACCGTAGCTTCCCCAAGGATCCCTCCTTCCCAGAGAACCATCCAACACATAGGATTTCTTTAAAGATGAAAAAAGGAAAAAATAATCTTGGATGCTAGAGGGCCTGGACCCTGGAAGCCCTGAGTTCAAATCTAGCCTCAGACACTCACCACCTGTGTGTGACTGGGCAAGTCACTTAGCCTCTGTCTACCTCAGTTTCTTCAGCTGTGAAGTGGGTATAATATCAGCACTTCAGCTGAAGTCATCATTGCAATGCTTAGCCCGTGCCTGGCCTAGAACAGCTCTGTAAATTCTTGTTCCTGGGTCTCCCGCCCCAGCCCCTCCAGCATTTGGGGGCCAGGTGAAGCCCAGCGGGGCTTGGGTCTGCATTTATCTTCATTCTGATGATTTGGAGCATTTTTTCACATGGTTGTTTCTAGTGTACAGTTCTTTCTTTCTTTCTTTCTTTCTTTCTTTCTTTCTTTCTTTCTTTCTTTCTTTCTTTCTTTC